ATCCATTAATCATTTAATTCAAAATATGTATTCAAATTTTATAATGGAAAATAATTGATACATCTTTAAATTCAACACACTTCACAAAATTTAATGGTTGAGCTATTAATTAAAATTTACATTTTTTAGTTTTTTGGTCTTTAATTTAAATTTAAAAATACTAAATTTTTAATGAATATATTATGAAGTATTTTAAAATGTATATCAATTATTGTTTTTACATAATATCTCCCTTACTTACAAAATTGATGTTTTACAGGTGTTTGTGAAAAAGATCAATATTCAAACAACGGTCTTCTCGCGGGTTGAACCTACGCCTAATGATAATAAAGATGATGGTGATGATCATGATAAGAACGAGCAAATTGTGTATCCAAATTCAGTTTTAGCTGCCAAACACATTTGTAAGTTTCGATCGCACGATTCCAACCCTCCTCCAGCCCTTCCTTCAACCCCTCCCAAATTTGATATGACTGATTCTGTGGAATTTGTTGTTGATGCTTCTACATCCAGAAAGCAGATTGAAGCCCTGGATTCCAGATTAAGAGGGTATGTCAGCTATTAATTAATTAGTTTTATCTTTGTTCGCATGTATCATACACTAAATGATATGACTTGCCTATAAAATTACATATATTGCAGGGAAATTGCGGAAGAAGTCCCTTCTGCAAAAATCAGCGTACATGCTAATGGCTTTGAAGATGGAGACAAGATCAAAATGGGTGTCTATATTACTTACATAAAACTTTGGGAAGATAACAAGCAAAAAAGCGAGTGGAAGTCTAAAATAGTGTTGGGGCTGAAGCAAATTCTTGAAGACATGGGTATTTCTAAATATCACAAGAAGATTAATGCTGAATCTGCCGCTGCAGCAATTTCACCTGCTGTTGTCTGATGGTAGTAAGAGTTCCTTTTTCCAATTTCTACGTGCAATAGGGGAATGTAAGTAGGTAGCTCGATCTATCAATGTTGTCCTCATTATCTTTTATATGTATGTTATCGCTTTGAAACTGCGCATGTTGCTGCTTGCATTCTTGGCTCAGCCAGGAAAAAGAATAAAGAGACGATTTCATTGGACGAATTTTTTACGTTGACTATTTTTATTTGCATCACACGTAGTTGTAATCTTTCTCTTAATGAAGAATATATCTGAATTATCCCTTAATTTAGTAAAAATTATGACTATAAAGAATGACATATATTCTCCTTCACGTTTAACGACTGGTTTTATTAGAAGTAATGAGTATTACTTAACTAAATTATAAATTTAAGATAATTTTCTTTTAAATGACAACAAATATATTAAAAATGAAATACAATAGTTATTCCAACTCATTTACGTCAAACATTAATTTTAAGATTAATTATAAGAAGTTAAAGAACATACAGTGACAATCATTTCTAAAAGGTTCAGTTGTGTCTAGCTCCAGAACTTTGTGCTAAGAGTTGTTAGTTTCGTAACTGCTAGTTTATTATCATGACGTTGTCTGTTTAAGCTTTTATTTTGGCAAGCTTTAAGAAGTAGCTATAGTGGTGGTAGTCCGAGGTCATGTGCTTTGGTAGTTCGAGATCACGCATCTTGGATGATCTAAGCTAGTATGAGGTCATGCACCTCGGACGGCCTAAGTTATACCCAACAACCTCTAGTCACTTTAGACATTGTTTGAAGTGTGATGAACTCAGTTGAGTTCGAACTCGTCCTTTTTGCCCTCACTCTACAGTAGCTCCATACATACACAGATTTCTTATGAGAGATTTCTACAATAATTGACACCCATGACCTCAGTTTTTCGCAAAGATGAACATGTGGAGATTTCTTTGAAGGCTATAAATACCCCCAAAAGGTCCTCTTCAAGAGGTAATTAAAAACTGATCTCAAGCTTATCTCTTGCTTCATATTTAGTAGATTTGATTATTGCTAATTTAAGTATCGAAGTGTTTACCCCAAATACCAATTTTGGAAATGTGTAGGTTAATTGAAGTGAAGATTTGAGCTTGGGAGCACTTTGAAGTTCTTTGCAACAACAGTAGCTTTCCTAAAGATTTTTCGTCGGACTTTGTATTTGTATTCATAGGCAGAAGTGCCCTTATATTTCAAAATTAAATAAATTTTTCTTCACTAAAAAAAATCAGTTCTGAAAGGTGAAAAGGATGATCTAATTAAGGTTTTGTTGTCCATGATTTAGTCACTGTTCAAGCTTTTGGTCTTCGTCAATCGGTCATATTTTTTACTTTGTTTCTGGGGCATTGTAGCTTTTGAAAGACGAAGGAGGGTCCAGAATAGATTTGGAATCAAGTTGATACTGCCATGCCAATCTGATGTGATTTTACAATCACACTAAAGTCTTAATGATATTGTAAACAATTTTTAATAGTTACTCATTAAAAAAATTAATGAAAAGGCTGCTCTTAAAAATTTCTTAATTTAAAAAATAAAAAAATAGAAAATTAAGATATTTTGAAATTAAAGATATTAAGATTATATTCAATCAAAATTATATAATAAATGAGATATAATATAAGTTTCACTAAAGTTATAATTGAGATTAAAGATGTTGATATTAAAAATATTAAAATATTTTTATTTTTATTTTTTTAAATAAAAATAAAAAATTTTAATAATATTTAATGAGATATTAAAATCCCAATTGTATGAGAATATTAGTTTTAATGTTATATAAAATTATAAAATTATAATGATAATATGTTATTAAATAAATTAATATATAATATTATAAAAAAATTTAAATGAAAAAAGTCAATATATAATGATATATCATTACTCATATCATGCTTGTTGGAAGGCACCCAAAGCTTTTGATTTGTGTGGATTAATGGTAAGCATCCCAGATCGGCTTTTGATTTGGGAAATTCTTGTCAATACCCGTTCTTATGTGCAGAAGAAATTGTGAGGGGGTATGTTAGAAGCTAGTTGGGGTATGATTATTGTTATTTATTAATTTATTAACATCATATAATATTATTAAAAAAATTAATTTAATTATTAAAAATAATTAATAATGCAAGTGCTGGCTGGGCAGTTCGGATATACTTGTGTTGGAGTGACAAGTTTTAGCTTCTGTGAAATATTGGTTTTTAAAAGGATTATTTGGATTCACAGAGTGTAAGATAGGGAAACAATCAAAAATGTATATTTGGGAATTCCTATTGTACTCTATCTTAACATATTTTTGTCATTTTAAAAAAATAAAAATAAATAATAATTAATTTAATAAATTAAAATTAA